CAATTCACTTGAAAGTCATGGCATCATCTTCCTGATGTCATTGTCCTCTTCAAGAACAAAGGACAAGCAACAATCTGTGAGTAGTCTGAGCTGCCCCACTGGGGACCCAATTGGCCAGTTCCAGTTGGACAACACAGATCCTTCCTTCTCCCTCTTCTCCCCTCCTGTCCCCCACCTTTCCTCTCTTCTCCTGTCCTCTCCTCTCCTCTCTTCTCCCTTCCCTCCTTCCTCTCCCTCTGTCCACATGGGGTTTCATGCCTTCATGGGCAGGTGCTCTGCCCAAGGGATATAAATTTTGATGGCTGAAACCTTTCAAGATATCTTGGGGTTTACTGGGTAGATTTCATTCTTAAACACTAAGCCTTAAATCCAGTTCACTCTGGCTCTCATAGGCCAACAATAGGTCCCAACCCAAGAACCACTTAGTGGACATTGGTAAATGTAAATAGTAATTGTTTCTCTTTTGGCCAGAAATCCTGAGGGTCTTCCCCTCCCAGCTTGGTGTTAGGTTTTGTTTTGTTTTGTTTTGTTTTGTTTTAGATTAAAGGGGCCATCCCTTGACTCACTTAAACACCCCTAATCACTAAATGGGAGTTACCTCACCCTTAGCTCAAAAAGGCCAAGGTCTTCCATTACATCTGGGCCATCTCCAGTTGTCCTGATTTATATATCTCTACTGGACCCAGATGACTCTGGAGGAGAAAGTGAGGATAGTGATCTCGCACAGCCCTCCGTCACTTAAATCTAATTCACTTGCAAGTCATGGCATCATCTTCCTAATGTCATGGTCTTCTTCAAGAACAAAGGCCAAACAACACTCTGAGAACCACTGCCTAGGTTACTGCCTTTTCACTCTGCCTTAAATCAGTACAAGCTGCCTTAAATAGGTACACACACACACACACACACACACACACACACACACACTCACACACACACAGAGAAAGACAGTGGGAAGGAGGACATGCAGAGGGAGCACACATGGGGAGGCACTTATCTAGGGAACACATGTAAGTAAGAAAAATGTTTTCATGCCTCCAACATTGTGAGGCCTGTAATGTCCTCCAGTGATGTCATTGATCACAGCCTGTTCCCCACTGGTCTTGAAGCTTCTGCGGGCTGGTCTTGCTCCCTTTCGGTCTTCCCTGGGACTCTGCTTTGCTTCCTAACTCAGTGCTGTGGTGCTGGAGGCTCTGTGGCTGTCAGCTTCAAGATATCTTCCTGGGGCATCATCAAGCTTTGTTGGCTTAAAATCCTTCTCCAGATCTTTTAGAAAAGGAAGAAAACTTTTCCTGTTATGTTCCCTGAGTCTCTTTGCCACTAAGGCCTCTCATATCACCAGTAGATTTTTTAGCCTCCTGGGAATGCTCTTTAGAACAAAGAGCAGAATGCTCCCAGCTACCTAAATTCCCTCAGGCTTAGTTTTTTCTTTCAACTCCTCTTCCTAGACAGGAGTCTACCTGTCAGAGAGACCTTACCCTAACTCATGAAAATGCTTCATATACTTTCCAATTTTAAAACTCTGGAGGCTAGACTATATATCAGCTAATAGTTATTTGCCAAACAACTATTAAATAGCTCTGATGTTTGAGATTCTCTAATTTTCAAACTCTAAATTTCTTCTATTCTCACATAAAGATAAGTGAGTAGAGAAAAGCCACAGGAGCAAGCAGTCCTTAGGAGTAAAGGTCATTGTTGCTGCTGCCTCAGTTTTCTCATCCTTCAAATGGGGATAATAATAGCATATCCTTCACAGGGTTGTTGTGAAAATCAAATAATATCTCCATGACAAGCAAAAGTGCTTTGTAAACATTAAAAAACTATATAATTGCTAACTGTTGTTATTGTTATTATTATTATTATTATTTGCCAAATTCCATGCCTTTGCTTGTGCAGATAAAACGAGCCCAAAGTTCAGACTTTGAAATGTCCACTTACTTTGTTTGGACTGAATTAATAATTAATAAGACAAATGAAATGGGGAACTGACCAATCCCAGCCTTTATGAGCATGTGTGGTGTGTACTATTGATGCAATCCCCACATGGACTTTGGAGCACATGCTGACATTTCGTAATTGGTTTTAATCTGCTAAACATGTGATGAAGAGTTGAATTTTTGATTGGCTCCTGAGCTGGAACTGGGGTGCATTCAAAAGGTACTGACTGACCAATGCAACCTCCTCACTATTTTTCATGCCTGGTTGTGTGCGAGTGAGGAGACTTGTAATAAGCCCTTGGTGCAGAGAGAGACCTCAGACTGTCATCTCCCTAGCAGGGCCACTGCTGTGTGGGCCAAGAGTACACTTGTTGCTTCTGTCTCTATTGAGTGTATTCTTCCTGCTTTTAGGTGAAGGATTGTTGGAGATGGCAATGGGTTATGAGTTTTGAAAAGTTGAAATAGTGAGTGCCAGAAATCTGGGAGCTGGAATCCATGCTAGGATGTGGAGGTTCCTTCATTGACCTCTACCTCTGAGTGTTCGTCCCCTCTGGATGTTTGAGGTTTAGATAGTGGTTAACCTTACTCAAGAAATAGACTCCCTAAAAACTAGAATAGCACAAATGGAAACCAATGACTCCATGAGACAGCAAGAGATTTTAGAACAAAATCAAAAGATTGGACAAAAAATAAAAGAAAATGTAAGGCATCTCATATATAAATATAAAAAAACTGATCTGGAAAACTAGTGCAGAGATCATTTAAGAATCATTGGGCTCCCTGGGGGAAAAAAGATTTTTCAAAAAGCTTAAACACTGTATTTTAGTAAATCATAAATGAAAAGTATCTATTAGAAGTGGAGGAATGTTATAACCTAAATCCAGACCTCCCACATCAAAGAAAAAATACTACAGGCATCCCAAAAGGAATCCAAGTACCAAGAACCACAGTCAGGATCACACAAGACCTGACAGCTTCTACTTCAACTATAAACAAAAGGAGATCTTGGAATATAATATGCCAAAAGGCTTATAACAAAGAATAATTTAAATTTACCTCACAAAGGTAAATATAATCCCTACAAAGGAAAAGTGGATAGAAAAAATTGAATAGAAGATATTTAAGCACTTTTGATAAAAAAAACAAAGCTGAATAGGAACTTTGAAATACAAAAACAAGTATCCAGAAAAACCTAGAAAGGTGGATTTATCTGAGCATTTGAGAGGAGCTATATAATAATACAACACTAAAATTTTAATGAGTGAGAAGAAGTAAGTGCCTTTCAGAGTTCTAATGCCCTCAAAAGATCTTGAAGGAGTTAAATAAGAAAAACAGATCCTGAAGGTGGAAAGGGAGATTCTATTCTGACTTTTAAGAAGGGAAAGAAAAAGGAGAATAAAAGGGATAAATACACTAGAGTAGAAAGGAGGAAGAAAGGGATGGAATCAGGGGTGTGCTAGAACCAGATAGAAACAGGTACTCAATTGTTAAATATTCAGTGTAAGCACTGACCCCTCGGAAATCAGCAAAAGTTACAAATCAGGCTTAATTTATTATTTTGTTGATTATCTAGAGTTAAGAAAATGATTGAGAAAATGTCAGTAATTCAGATTAAGGCTAAAAGAGTATTGGAATACAGATCTGGAGAGAGACGAAGGAAAGTTGAACACACCTATCCACCCATACATGACACTTTTGTTGCTTTTTTCATTACCTATTCAAGTGCTTTTTTACTGTCAGCAAACAAAAAATATATTAGGATCTTGAAAAGTCTGCACCTTTTAGTCAATTGTGTGCATATGAAGATGATGTCTAAGGCAGAAAAGCATTTGCAATATTCTACCTCTTCTCATCTCATATTTTCATCAAAGATACCCTAATAGATGTGGAGGTTATTCACATAAAGATTTCCCCAGAAATGAGAAAGTAGGTTGCTATTAATGGCCTTTCAGTGACCTTTCTTTGTTAAACATAATGTACTTGATTCTTCTAATTATTTGATAACTTTCCCTCTTTCAGATCACTTGAAAATCTCTCCCTCAGTGCTTCCAAAATTGTACCACCACCAGAATGGATTTCTGCTGTGTAGACAAGGCTGTTCTTCCTATATTTGTCTCTTCTCATCCCATTTCCACTTTCTTATAGAAAACATCATGGATTTTGGTTTTAGAGTTCAAATGTAGTGGTTCCACTGTCATCAATAATCAAATAGTTCATTATAGTAATGCTGACAGATTTGTTCCATTTTTGTCTGTTTGTTGTAGCCCTTCTAGGTTTATCTGTAAGAGTTCTGGGAATGATTTAGCATAATTGTGTCTCATATTTAACTTTGTACAGACTGATTTTCCTTTTAACTTATCTTCACTGTCACGAAACAGCTGGTGATTCAGTAGATAGAGCACTGGGCATGGAGTCAAGAAGTCCTGAGTTCAAATCTGGCCTTAGCCACTTACTAGCTGTGTGACCCTGAGCAAGTCACTTTACCTTCATTTGCCTCATTCTTCAACTATAAAACGGGAATAATAATAGCATCTACCTCTCATTGTTGTGAGGATCAAATGAAATATTTGTAAAAGCACTTAGTACAGTACCTGGCACATAGAAGACACTATATAAATGCTTATTCCCTTCCCCCTTGTGTGAGTCCAATGATGTTACCGTAGAATGAGGACCAAGAGAATCCGATCAATTTGATGAGGCTATAGGAAGGTCAGCCTTTGTTCTGTATTTTGTTTGCATGGAGGATGTGGTCATGCCTTTCAATGACTCACTGAGAAGACTGAGGATATCCTATTGGGTCTGGATCCATTCACACTTTATTGAGGATGAACAATGCACAGGAATGATTTTTCCTGGATCAGGGTATATTTTACATTGAAATCACTCCTTTGTACTATAAAAGATGCAGGGAAAGTCAGAGCCAGAACAGTTTGCGAATGGTAGGAAAGAGAAACTGAAACAAACATAAGTGATGCCATGAGTCCAAAAGGCGGCAGAGGGAGGGAGGGACAATGCAATATTGTGTGTTTTTTCACAAATGCAACCTCAGAAGTGTCCGGGAGGGACAAGTTTCTGGATCCATCTTGAAGAGACAAGAGTGTATCTCCTTAGTCTAAGAGACAGCATCCAAATATAGGGCACGTCCATGACTGAATGGTAAGAGTTTTTTAACTCCATTCCTCCAGAGCAGGGGTTTTTAACGGAGGTCCTCAGACCTCCCAAGTTTTTCATGGCTAGATTTCAGAAGGCATTTGTGAATTTGGGTGGGGGAAAAAGTTACAGCTTTATTTTCACTAATCCCAGACTGAAATTCAGCATTTCTTTCAATTATTAATTTAAAAAACAATTAATCTAAGGAATTCATAGGCTTTACTAGACGACAAGAAAAGTTAAGAACCCCTACTCTAGAGGAATATTGATAGTTCCCAAACTAAGGATCAAGCACATTACCCATAACTACAGAGGCAGCAAAGGACTGAACCTTAACACAGAGGACAAAAAATCTAGACTTCGTCCTCTGGTACTGCTGGGATTTATTTAGGAAGTACAAGCCCAGTTGAAAAGGAACATGTTTCTCTGGTAATCCTTAATCCGTTTCCCTTCTAGGGGGAGGGGAAGGAGAATTGCATCAACTACTTCTGGGCAACTGTGAGATATTTGAGTTGTTTTGCATTTTCTTTGGGGTAAAATAAAGGTTGTGCTGTAGCCAATATGCCTTGTTGTCTTGAGTGGTTGTTTAGGAAGTGGAGACCTTTTAACCTCCTTCTGTGGAGCCCTAAAAATGAACTATATTTTAATCTTCCCAGAGTAAACTCTGGGTGGGGGCAAAGTGAACCAAAGACGGATTTTTAACAAGCCCCTAGGATTGAAGCAGTCTATGTAGACCTGGAGCTTGGGATTCTAAATCATGGGTTATACTCCTAACCTTTCACCATCTTCTGATTAGAGGTAGCATATTATAGTGGATATAGTACTAGAATTGGAGTTAAGAGGACTTGAATTTTAATTTTGCCCCTGACACTTTAGCTCTGTGGCCCTGGGCGAGTCATTTAACCTCTTTGGACTTGAGTTTTTTCATCTGTAGAATGGAATTAATACTATCCCCTACCTTAAAGGCTTATTGTTAGAGGCAAATGGGATTATATATGTAAAGTGCTCTGCAAATCTTTAAGCATTATATAAATGTTAACTATTATTATTCCATAGAATTTTGCAAATGAATTTATACTCCAAATTGATGTTGCTCTTGGTTGACATGCAAACCATGAGCACTTGCTCCTAAGAAAGGAGTCCAAGTAATCTCAAATCCTGAGCCTCAGAGCACTCAGTGGTAGTACTGGAGTGACTTTTGAGTTCTGCTCAGAGATTCAGTGCTAAGGGCTTGGACCACAGATTTATCTGTCTCCAGATGTGCCGAATCCATAACATAACTTGGGAAAAGGCTTCTGAATGAGTGTAGAGTACGAGTTTAGCACAGTCCGCCTAATTACCTAATTATTTTGCCTGTATTACTGAGGTCTCAGAACTATAAGAAGAGGAATTCTCAGGGAGACAATAAATAGTAGCGCTACTGGAGAGAGAACTCTAAGCCATTTCAGAACTCTGCCTCTGGGCAATAAGGGAAGTAGGCACCTCTTCTGAAGAGGATTCTGAACAATTTCAGATCCCAAGCTTCAACATAACTAAGGTACTATGGAGGCATAGTAATTAAATACAAGGTCTTTTTGGAAGGAAGAAATGCTTTTGCATTCTCAAATCAGAAACTGAGTATCTGTAACATATGTAAGATATCTCTTGTATATGCCTCATTCTTCACTATCTTGGGATAAGGCTACTGAGAGAGTTCAGTGACACCCATAGGCACCTTATCACCAAATTATTTTTTCCCAGTCACTGAGGTCTCAGAAATATGAGGTTCCAACTCTGTCAGATACATCGAGGTCCTTCAGTGGTTCCATTAACATAGGGAACACTCTGCCACAAATATCCACACCATCAGTGAAGAAAATGAACATAAGTAGGGTTCATGAGCAAGTGGCTCATGTATTCGTACTGTATGTGGAAAGATAAATCACCCTTCCAACACTGTTGCACCCTTGTTGTCTTCCAGTGATATTATCATGCTGCTCTCATTAGACCTGCTCCTACAACTCCAGTCAGTCAATCAAGAAGTTGTTAAGCACCTACAAAGAGCTTACATTCTAGTGAGGGAGACAAGTACATATAAAAATATAGACAGAATAAATATGAAGTGAAAAATATAAAAGTATACCATGTTTATATAAAACCTTATATAAATACCATGTTTATATAAAAGATAGTTTTAGAGGGAGGAAGGCCTCTAGCTGTTGGAAGAATCAGGAAAGGCTTCAAGCAGAAAATGGTACTTGAGCTGTATCTTAAAAGAAGAGAGGAATTTATGAGACAAGGTAAGGAGGAAATGCATTCTAGGAATGTGAGATGATGAGTGCAAAGGGAGAGAGAGGAAGTCAGTTTGGCTGGATTGCAGAATGTGGGGTGGGAGGAATGAGGGTGCTAGAGCCAGTTCAACCTAGCTTTGCTAATTATTAAATTTTCAGTGTGAAGGGTTATACCTCAGAAATCTGCAATCACTATAAATCAAGGTTTTATTTATTGTTTTGTTTATTGTCTAGACTTAAGAAAGTGTCAGAGAAAATAATTAACAGACTTAAAAGTGTGTCTTGCATACTTTTTTTTTGAAGAGTTAGTTATTAAACATTTACCAGCACACCTCTGGAGGAAAATAATGTCCAATGAGGCTGGAGAAATAGTTCGGGGCTGGGTTGTATAGGACTTTAAAAGTTGAATGTCCTAGAGGCAATAGGAAACCATTGGAGTTGATTGAGTAGCAACATGGCACAGTCAGATCTGCACTTAAGGAAAATTACTTTGGCAACAGTATATAGGATGGACTGGATAGGAAAAGTCTGGAGGCTGGCAAACCAATTAGGAGGCTGTTGCATTAATCTAGATGAGAAGTGATTAGGGCCTGAATTAAGTTGGTCCCTGTATGAGGAAAGAGAAACGGTCAAATGTGAGAGGTGTTTTGAAAGTACAAATGGCAAGATTTGGCAACTGACTGGATATGTAGGATAAGGGACAGTGAAGAGTCAAGGATAATGATGAGCCAATCAATAAACATTAAGTGCCTACTATGTACAAGATACTATCTTAAACACTGAGGGTACGAAGAAAGACAAAAAAGTAACAACTCAAGAAGCTCATAACCTAATGAGGGAGACAACATGCAAATAACTATGTGCAAATATATATAGGAGAAATTGGAGATGATCAGTAGAGGAAAGACACTAGTGTTAAGGGGGAATCAGAAAAGACTTCTTGTAGAGAAGAAGGGATTTTAGCTGAGATTTGAAAGAAACCAACGGAGGCAGGAGGTGGAGATAAGGGAGAGAGTATTGTAAACAAGGGGAATAGCCAGTGGAAGTACCCAGAGTCTGGAGATGGTATGTTTTATGCAAGGAAAGGCCAGGAAACCAGTGCCACTAAATCACAGAAGACATGGTGAGGAGTAACATTTAAGAAGACTGGAAAGGTAGGGTGGAGGCAGTTATAAAGGATTTTATATTTGACCCCACAGATGATTGGGAGCCATGGAAGTTATTAAATAGGAGGAGTGAGATGTTCAGATATGTACTTTTGGAAGATTAATTTGACAGCTAGATGGAGGATGCACTAGGGTGGGAAGATATTTGAAGCAAGAACACTGACCAGTTGGCTATTGCCATAGTGGAGGCATGAGGTGATGAGGACCTGCACCAGGATGTTGGCAATGTCTGGGGACAGAAGGGAGAGATTACAAAGATAAATCTATGGGAATTGGCAATAGATTGGGTATTATGGGTGGAGGTGAGAAAGTGAGTAGTCAAGGTTGACATCTAGGTTGCAAGACTGGGTGGGGGGTGGGGAGGATGATGGTACCCTCTTCAGTAATGGGGAAGTTTGGAAGGGAGAAGGATTTGTAGGAAAATATAATGAGTTCAATTTTGGATATGAGTTTAAGATATCTACAGAACATACAGTTTGATGTGTCTAATACACAGTTGGAGATGTAAATCTGGAGGTTAGGAGAGAGGTTTCAACTGATAAGCAGATCTGAGAATCATCAGCATAGAGATAATAATTGAAACCAGGGAAACTGATGAGATCACTGAGTGAAAAAGTATATAAGGAGAAGAGAAGAGAGCCCAGGACAGAGACCTGGGGAACCCTTGCAGTTAATGAGATGAATGAAGATCCAGCAAAGGAGACTGAGAAGGAATGGTCAGACATGTAGGAAAAGAACCAGGATGAAATAGTCTTTTAAGATATCAAGGAGAAGAGGATGATCAACAATTTCAAAGGTTGCAGAAAGGCCCAAGATGAAGATTGGAGTGATTAGATTTGGCAGCCAAGAGATCACTGGTAACTTTGTAGAGAGCATTTTTGGTTGAATGATGAGGTTGGAAGCCAGACCATAGAGAGTTAAGAAGAAATGAGGTGGAGACATTGATTATAGACATGCTTCTCAAGGAATTATACACAATCTTTTCAAGGAGTTTTGCCCCAAAACGGAAAAGAGATGTAAGGATGGATAAGGATGTGTGTGTGTTTGTGTGTGTGTGTGTGTGTGTGTGTGTGTGTGTGTACTGGAGTTGGAAATGTCTAGGAGTTATCTACATACATAATAACATGATAGTTAAAAGTTTACCAAGAGAAAGAGTGTAGAAGACCAGAACCTTGAGGAATATCCATTTGGGGAGGTGGCTTATATGAATGCTAAGCCAGAAAAGCATGGTCCTGGTCCACTGGGTTATGCTGACTTCATAGTCTCTGCTACTACATTCAACTCTGCCAAGACAGTCCAGCCATCTCAGCTTTTGTCTTTTAAGGTTTCCTGACTAAAACACCACACCCAACTAACAAAGCCATGAAGAGCATCCTCAGGCTAAGATTAGATTTTTCTTTTCTTTTCTTTCTTTCTTTTTTTTTTTTTGGTCTGTGCAGAGATCAAAACCTTCTGTTACTGGAAAACTATCTAGCTCAGGATTTCAGATAATTTGACATATTTATTTGACATAAGCTGCAAGTGAATTTAAGCCAGAACAAAAGGTAAATTAAGGAAGGAGACGAGGTCA